ACAACTATTGTAAAAATAGCAGAATGACTGGTGTAAAGAATCCTGGCAGTTACTTGTTTTTGTGTGCTTATTGATGGATAACTTCATACTGAATGGACTAACGCAGAAATAGAAAAGACCAATGAACCTACAGTGCATGAGAGTTAAATTATTTTTCTTATGTGTATACATCCACGTAGAGGCATGTTGTTTAAAAACAAAATTAAAATTAAAGTAATTTATTACACAGTAATAATCCTACATGGTGGACGACTTTATGGCCAAAAATATAAGTCTAGCTTAATGGAAGAAGTCAATGTAGAAAAACTTAATGCAAAGATGAGTGGATAGTCTGATAAAAACTATAAGAACATTTTGGGAGAAGTTTCACTCTTCAGTTGCAGCTTCTAAATTCTTTGTTTATGTATCTACTAATGACTGCTGGCACAAAGGGAATCAATAGGTCGGATGGCTCATTTGACTTGACACAGCACAGCTGTTCTTCTGTGGAACACAAATGCAATGCCCTAATTAACACTGCATTACTTACACAGAAATACCTGGAGACACAGGTGAAGAGGACTCTGTTAGTAATTTGTCTGAAGACCTACAGGTTGCAGATGTAAAGAAAATTTCTGATTCAGGTAAACTGAAAAGTCTGCTTTTTTTTTTAATATAAATTCTTACATTTAGTAACCTTGGCTGGATTTCTAAAAGAAGCGTGCACTGCAACAACAGTCAGAAAATGTAGAGGTCTTCAAAGCAAAAGATATCACAATAATAACCATACTTCTAATAATTACAGGCACACGTACACATTTACAGTGCTATGCTGAATTTGACAAAACCAATCTATTAAATAACCCTTTTGAAGATTTAGGGACCACAAAATAAAGAAGAAGCTATAGATTTAAGGAAGTTGAGTATAATATTACTGCATTTGTTTAAGCAGTATATACTCAAGGCACATAATTATCCATCTCCTGTGCATAGTCTAATACAGTGTTCTCAATTTCACAACATGATTTGGTCAGTATTTAACAGAATTCTGTCAACACCCATGCCAGCGGTGAGAATTTCATTTTCAGATATCACTTTCTAGCTTGTGGTGGCCACTGAAAACGAAAGCCATACGCTCTTTACAAAGAAACATTACAGCTTACTTCTGAAAGCATAACTTCTGGGGGAAGTGGGAGTTCAGCACTGAGCTAAAGGCATGTATGAAAGTCTGGAAGGCTGAAGGGTGGGTCTTTCCTTGGCAGAGAGGACCTAATGGTCTCCTTCAGTAGCACAAGGTAGAATGTGCACATAAATAAGGTGTTAAGGAGTACTCTAATACAATTTAAAATGGTCTAAAGTGAACTTGAAAGGTTTTAATGTCAAATTAAAAATCTTCTGTCAGATGATGTTACTGTAAATACTTCTCCAGAGAATCTGGCAGCTTTTCATATAAGGAAAGAAACAGCTATGACAAGTAAAGAGATAGTTGATGATTAAATGTAATTTGAAGTATTCTGGGCATTAGCATTCTTGCTTCACTGCTCAAATGTAATTAGATTTATTAATTTAAGTTTACTCACAAAGAAATATGCAACTAGCCTTTTACCGGATTACCACAGACACCTCAGGCATTCATTAGGGAAAAAATAGGTTGTCACAGAAAGTACATTTTCTAAAGAGACAAAAGATATAAGAAATCATAACCGCTATTCAGTGAGATCTACTCAAGACAACTTGTAAAATGCACCAAACTCCATTTTCCCCCGTGAACAGGTAAAATCACCACATTGTAACAATACGCAGACTCAGCAGTGCTACTAAACTGTCCTAAGGCTTAGTTTTTTTTTCAAATGCTTGCTGTGTTAATATTGTAACCTTCTTGGATTGCAAGCTTCTGAACCAGTTAAGGGAAAGTTAACTGTATATTTCCAGGACAGTTCTGAGCACTCATTTTTAACTTTTTAACATTCCATTAGGATACGTGTAGTAGTTTGGCAGCTACAGCTTACCATAGTTACCATTTCCCTTTTCAAATATATGTACTTTAATGGCATTTTTTCTTTGTTTCTGGGTAATTGCAATTGCGATTTGTAAAATCTCATTTTGTAGGCAAAAAATAAAATTGCAAGTATATCACATGTTTCTCTAGATTAGCCTATTCACTCTGAAGACTATTGTTCCAACTTCTGTGGGGAAAAACAGGCAAAAAACAGGACCCACTCCTGATAAGATGCCGTTTAGTTTCCAAAATCCTTTTCTCCATTCCCAAATGAACAATACAGGATCCAATTATTTTATCACAGATGGTAAAAACTACTTCATCTTTAATGTTATTTATGGTACAACCATTAGGCACTATATAAAGCAGAGAACAGAAATTTGCTTCTTACTTCAATACCGTGGGCACTCTATTTTCTAGTTTTGATACTAGCCTTTCCTTGATAATTCAAGTGAATTTAGAGTGAGAAACTTAAATAAAGAGTATGTAGCTTTGCATTCACAAAAAGGCAAGCAGCAGCAGGGATACCATGTTACAAGGGTTCTTCAGTATCAACAGAATTCTGGCAATCCATAGCTTTTAGGATGTGACCTCTGTTACCTATTACAGCAGAACTTCCACAGAAAACCTCAACAAGTTTATGATTCTAATCTATATATATACATGTATTTATTTTTCTTTTAAATACTTGTAAAATAAATAAATAAATGGACATAAATATGAATTTAGAAATTCAATTAACCTTGCTCTGCATTTTCATGCTGGGGCATCTTCCAAATTTGTACATAGAAACAGCAAGTGGAATTAAGTGCATGTTTGTTTCTATGAACTAGAGACTTCTGCTTTCTGGAAACTGCAGTAGCATAAAAGTGCAGAGGTGTATAAGATTCCTCTGCAGTGCATGTACTTCTCATGATCTTATGTGTGCATGTGAGTTAAAAACTACAGTGACATTATCACCCACTGCCAATCATTATGAACAGTCCAGTCAGGTATGCCAGGTTCCAGCAAGGAAAAAGATTGAGACAGTGTTAGTCAAAAGACAAACCCACCAGTCTGAGGCAAGTGCTCAGTTATTTGATGTTTCATTATTTTTTCATCACTGCACAAATGTATTTGCCACTTAAAGAGTAGCAAATGTCCACTTGGGAAGGAATAGATAGAGGTAAATAAATCCTTATACATTCTTTGACAGACTGCAACTGTGCTTGAGGTGACTGGCCAGCAGAGTGCACCAGAGCCTTGTATCAATCACAGAACCATTCTCCAGTCAAAAACAGGCAAAGAAAACCCAGGGTCACTGTAAACTTCTTCCTATCCTGATAACAGTTATCCATATTAAGTCAATCTGGAAATAAAACCAATGTAGTCACTTTTATTTCTGTTTCATAAAACATGAGATTGCTTTTAAGGGCAGCTAATTCCAGAAATCTATTTAGAACAGCCAATTCGAAGTCTGCATGCGTAAGCACACATTCCAAACATGTTACTTGCAGCGTGACCACAGACTGCGTACAGGTATTTGATTAAATCTAAAGTAACACAGGAAACAACAGTGAAAATAAAGACAAGACTCTAAGGAATGCCAGCAGACTGATGCAAAAACATCTATGCGTTTTGTTTCCAACAAATTACTTCTCTTGTCATTATTTTTGTTTTTCTTTGTGCTGCTTATGTTACTATATGTCTCTCTAAGGACAAATTTGTGATAAGTTGTGACACTGCCATGGTACATTGTTAAGAAAATTATTTGAAATGGTTGTTTAAAGCTAAGGTCTTAAGTCAGAACATACTCAAGGCATTTATGTTGGCTTCTCTTGAATATTGCCTGTGAGTAGAATTTTTAAATGTTTAGTCAAAAGAGAATGTTTTAATGCATATGTCTTAGGCTGGTGTGAAGTAGGTGCACTTTTGTATCATAAATGACACAGATGAGGGTAAGGACTAAGACGCATTACTAATCTTGCTTAGTGAGCCAGAACACAGGATAAATAGCAATAGTGAGCACAGTACTGAAAGAGAACATAGCTTGTTATCAGTCTGAAGAAGTAAATGGGAGAAGACTGCTACAGTACTGCTCAGGTGGCTTTGTGAGCAGTGCTCCAAATACAAAGTAGAGATTAAGCAAGTTTGCTGGCAGTCATTTATAGCTTGACAAAACAACATGGATGGAGCCAGTATCTTTTATAAATGTCAGAAACCAATGATGGTTTGCTCTGTTTGGCTCAGCCATGCTCTCCTCATGCCCTCCCCCAAAAACTCAGGCAAATGGTTCAGAAAAAAAAGGCAGGCTATCTACCCACACATTCTTGGCTCAAAAGAAAAAAGAAAGAAAGAAAAGCACATGATGCTGGTCACATCATAAAGAATGTCTGATGCAAACAAGCCTGTATTGATTCAGGGGGTAATTTTTAATAAAATGACTATAGATCGTGTGCTATTGCTCAATGTTTGTGGGCAATATTCTTGAATGGACCGAGGCTGGGAGTCAGCAGCTGCTGTCATTGATCTGCAGTGTGGCCTTCAGCATGTAATCTTTGTATACCAGTTTCCTCACCTAGAAATGATGATTGGAGAGACCACTTGCATCATCTGCCAATTTGTCTGAGGGCACAGGGGTGGAGTTCCCCATTAAACAAGGGAGAACCAATGACAGAGGTGCAGAGCTCTCCTCCCCGTGGAGGAGAGCCCATGGACCCACTGTCAGTGTGCCCAGAGCCTGGGCCCCAATAGTGTGAGGTAAGCGCTGCCACAATTGCAGCAGGGGGGATGCTCTGAGGACAGGAATGTAATACCTTGTCTCTATCAAGCAAGCAATCAGTCCTGCAGATCAATTATCCAGGCAGAGCACACTTATGTCAATGAAAGGACTCTTGCTCCAGCTGAGGCTAATTCAGTGACTCTTGGCATCACTCAGCTGGGAGTCTTTCAAATTTCAGTGGGTACTGAAACACCCCCTACAAAAGTCACTGTCTTGCCTGTTCTGCTGCATGCAGGTTTATCAGTTACTATGTTATTTACAACCATGATCAGAGAACAATTCTAAACATTCTGATCCAGCTTTTACTAACTTAAGAGTTTGCACATTTCATCCATAAACTTACCTGACAAGTTGTCACGTGGTATTCTGGAGTTATTTTATAATTGCTTACACTAGGCTTTTAAGCCCAGCATTGTCAAGAAGTGACAGTCTTAAATTAAGAGATGAAATCTCTAGCAATAGTAATCATTACAGACACTGTCAAGTTGGTGGTCCTAGAGCCATATCTTAAGGATTGTTTAGTTAATAAGAACTCTAAATCTCTGTTGCAGAAATCCTTGAAGATGAGGAGGACTTCAGCAATTCCACCCTGGCAGCTCTGGAAGCTACACAAATAAAGAAGGAGACAATTGATATAGGTAAGTGAAGACCGTGTCCTGATATTTATAACAGTTCTACTTTAATGGGAGCTGTAGATCCCTAAGATTCATGTTACTCCTACTTATACTCATTCTACTTCTAGGTTATGATAAAACCTGTTCTTGTTTTATTTCCTAGTGAAAAAAATGCATTAACAGTTACCTCTCCTTTCATCCATTAAAAAAAGATTGTATTTCACCTGACAACATACTTCTCATGCTACATGTGATAAATATGTGCTTGTTTGTGACACAAATACAGGTTTGTTTTTTTTTTCTTCACAGCTACTAGAGGGTGACCTGGACGACTAAATAGCTATCCCATAAACACTAAACATTTTATGCCTTGTCTGTCTTTTCCAACTATTTCAAGACAGTCCATTAAATTTGAGACTGTTCACTATCCAACAGTTTGCATAAATATTCTGTGTTATCTTACCTCTAAAACTGAAATCAGAGTTGAATACATTCAACAACACGTATTTGGGAAATATATTTAAACTACTTAAAATTGACATCAGAGTACACGTGGGATATTAACCTTCTGGAATAACTGAACATAGAAGCTATGGATGGTCACGGAAGAAAGGCATTAGAGAAAAATAGCAATGACATTGAAATCTACTATCCTGACATCCTGAATCAAATCCTACTTTTACAGTATTACTGTTTATACCCAGAATTTAAATGAATGAGTAAAAAAACTCAATGCAGTGATTTTTGGAATGAAAATTCTTTGCCCTCTTAGACTGAAAGAATATTTCCATTGTATGCATCAGTATTTCTGCAATCCAGGCAAGGAGCTGTCCTTGGCAATTATGTTATCTGAAATTGGTTGTTCAGACCTCCTGTTCAGCACAGCTTTTACAGCTGTTTACATAACTGTAAGGAATATGACACTGAGGACAACACCAGAGCAATGCCATCACAGCAATGACACTGAAAACGCAAATTACATTAAGGATAAAGTAAGACCGTGTCCCTGAAAGTTCAGGGGCATAGCAAGGCCACCCGAATGCAAAGAGAAGAGTTCATGCACAGTGAAACAGAATACAAATGATTGCTTTAGTTGCACCAATTCCCTTTTCTTGTCGCATAATATCCATTGAAGATAGCAATCACTTAGGTCAGAAGTACACAAATGCACAATGAGATTAGAGTGCACGGTTGAGAGAACACGAAAGCAAAGCCATCTTTCCTGGGTCACAGTTTAAAAAAGAAAATAATAATAATCACTCAAGAGCCCAGGAATAAAATCATAGAATGTTTTGGGTTGGAAGGGACATTTAAAATCATCTAATTCCCATTCCCCTGCTACAGGCAGGGATATGTACCTCTAGACCAGGTGCGCTAGAGCTGCCTTTCGGTTCAAGGCTGTATTTCCAACAGCTGAAAATGCAAGAATTTTCTGAAGAATTATGGGGTGCCTAGTCATGAAATAGATGTTTATGAAACAATTTTTCTTGTTGTCATCCCAAGTTAACCACACACACTTTTTTTTTTTAAAAAGGAATGTAATTTCTGATTATAATTTTCAAGAAGTTCGATCCCTACTAGTATGAGTGAATCTGCAAGAGCACAACTGTACAAATGGCACCCAAAAATGGGTGGCATGCCTGTGCCAGTGAATGTGCAGAAACATGTTATGCAAATCGACCTATATGAGAGATACAAACCATTGATGTACGCCTACACATTTAATTAAGTTTTTAAACTTGTGTGCAGCATCCACAGCTACCTTTTGGGGAACACAGCAGCAGAAACAAAGATAAGGCTTATGAGATATGCTAACAGATAATTTGATTTAGGGAGGCATGTAGCGAAAGACTTATTAAAGCCCTCTAAGACTAATGGGTTATGACATTTTTAATTAAGACAGGTGTTACCTGCAGAAAATGACAATAATCCCTGTGATTAATTTGCCTATGTCCACTTTCTTTAAACCCGTGTGTTTCTATAGATGATGATTCTATAAGCTCTACCTCAGAAGACAGATCATGTACGCCGCTAGCAAAACAGATAGTTGGGACAGGTGAGTATTGATTTCCATGCATTTACTCTGAAACAGAGTCGCATTGTAATTTCAGGACCAAAGCTGGATCAGTCAAATCTCTACCATAAACGCTACTTTACTTTATTTGCTTTTGTCTGTTGTCTAGTCTTTGCACTACACCCAAAGTTTAGTTTCTTATCATTATTCTCTGTCATTAGTAAAACTTGAATTAATATTTTAGTGACGCTTTGTATTTATTGTATAAACACCATCTGCTTTCTTCTAAATATCCATATAGATGTTTTTTTCTTGTATTCAATCCCTAGAAGCACTGTCATTTGAATAATACTTCTTCTTGCCACTCTAATTTGACAAAACACTGGAAAGCCAATTTCCTACAACTGCTGATAAATTGTTGCTTTTAAAGCTTTAAACCTATTGCAGTCCTGCACACAGCACTCAGATACATCTGTCTTTAGTTTGACAACAGCAACAAAATCGAAAGAGAAAAAATGTTGAATTTTTTACGATTACCAAGGACAGGAGATTATATATATATCTTGCACTAGATCTATATATATATAGATTATATATATATATCTTGCACTGAAATCTAGAAAGAAATGTAATCGCATCTGGATATTAATATTGCAAAACTAAAAGATTTTTGCAACCAGGCAATTATTATAAATGTTAATTAATCCTTCAGCTGTCACTTAACCATTAACTACAATTACACTTCAATGTGTGTATAACTCAGCAGTATCCGGTTGCTTCATTATATTTTCAGATAATCATATCCCCTTGGAAGAAGCACAAAATCACTTTAAAGTTATCACAGTTAATGATACTGGAGCAGGAAAGCACTGGAGTGACAATGAAGTCAGAGCTCTGATAAATATATGGTCAGATGAAAAGATACAGCAAATGCTTGAAGGGGCAACAAGAAATAAAGAAATATTTGAGGAAATTGCCAGAAGGTTAATGAAATGTGGAATAGACAGAGACTGGAAACAATGTCGCACCAAGTACAAGAACCTAAAATATGAATATCGTGCACTGCAGAAAGAAAATGAACATCTTGGTAATCCCAGGAGGAAAATGAGATTTTACGATGAAGTTGACTGTATCTTAAGAAGACAGCCTCTAGGTCCATCAGGCTGGGGATGCGAAAGTTCAAGCCTCCTGTCAGGTACTAAAAACTTCCATAATGAGATAAAGCAATTACACACAATGTTAAAAGTTGCTTGTTTGACACGCTGTTCTTGGGGTGAGGTACATGGTCATAATGAGGAGGGAAAAGAACTAAAGAGCATGTATCTGGACTTGATGATCTTTGTGGGTGTTCTCCAGCTCAGGATATTCTATGATACTGTGATTATTTGATTCTGTGCACAGTCAAATAGGCAATACTCAAAGAATAGCGGTGGTTCTCTGGAGGAGTTTAGAATTAAGAAAATTACCAAAAATGTACAAACACATGAAGTATTCAATGTTACTGGAGAGTCTTTGTGCTTAGGGAATCTTAAATGACGTACAGTGAAATGGTGCTAGAAAAATATGGCAGATTTCAGAGGTGATCCAAGAGGCATGTAAAGCACTTACGGATAGAGAGCTGCAAGCTGATACCAAGTGCAAGGGCTCCAAACATACAAACTTCATTAATTCAATTCACAGCCAGGAGAGAAAAAAATCCAGGGCTGTGATACATATTTTGATACATATTTCAGCACTTGTAATTATTACCTGCCTGGAGCAGAGGCAGGTGCCCCTGAGAGTCAAAGCAGTCAGGTAGATCAGATCATATAGAAGCAACTTTGCAAAGCATCTTAGAGCTCAATGAATTATGGTAAACTATGATTTTTGTCAACGTATTAGGCAATAATTTGCAATGTTGCAAATATTATTTGAGGACTTGAACCAGTTTGGTAGCAGAGGTCACAAGGACAGCTTGAGTAGAAATGGCTGAAGCCACCCTTACTTACATCCTTAAGTAAACTGTGCTCACTCATGAATCCGAGCCCTAGTGAGGTGTCCAGTGGCACCATCTTGTAGTGCCATCAGTTGTAGCTAGAATTAAGTCCACACAGTTATGAGATGACACTTTCCCAGCTCCCTTGTTCTTACCCTAAATGATATTCTTAAAGCTTTCATTTTCTTCCAAATCTAGAAAATGCAGATAGTATCACTCATTTCTAGTCTTTTTAAATAGAATTTTTCAGCACCAAAAATATTTGAGCCAAACTGGTTGCTTTATATTTTATTATGCTAGAAAAGGGTTGTGTAACCTGTGCTGTGAATACTGCTGCTGAATAAAGGAAAACAACAGCCATTCATAAAAGATGCTTTAATTATTAGCTTTGCTAAGGTATCTGCCAAGCAAACACGTCTCTACCTTCATTTTGTTTGCCAGTCCAGTGCCTGACTTTTCTAGGAGACTCCTATTGCTCCAAGTCACTCATCGCAGTGCATTTGCTTTTACAGTATTAAGGCATTTTGGTTTGTGACTATGTTTTTAGAATCTCCACAAAATACTTAAGTTAACTTGCTTCTCTCTTAAGTTTCAGTGGGAGATGTTACAGCAAATGCAGGATCCTTGGGTATCAAGAGAAAAACATGGAATGATGGTAAGAGCCTCTGACTTTTTAAAGCACCTATACATTACTGTTAATTGTAAGCCATATACTAGTTTACACTTAAGAAAAAAAACACTCCTAGAACTTAATACCAACCCCCAAACTAACATTCTTCTTGTACCATCAACAATCTGTAAAAAGAAAACTTCAGATTAAAATGTGAACCAGAGGGAAAAAGTGCAATTCCTTTGAGACCTCATCTGTGATAAAAATGAGGAAAACATCAGGAAGTAATTCTTTGATTTAAAAAAATAAAATGTAAGGAAAAAAAGAATTAAAAAGAGGAAGCTGTTTTAATAACCTGTGCTGCTCAGAGGAAAATAATGATGATATCACAGTCATGGTTGTGGTTTCTTTATATTATACTGTGTAGTGAGTAAATGAAAAATTTTGTGCCTAAAACTGCACAAGAAAAAAACGATTTAAGACACCTATTCTCAAAGAAATATGTTATAGAATTACTGTGAGAGAAAAATGAAGGGATGGACAAAAATATATGATATGCAATTTGATATAGGAAAGTAGAGGAGCTATTTTCATTCCTGCCGAAATTGGCAAGCCCTAAATGATCAAAAACTCCAACAATGAGGAATAAGAAAGCTAGTTTTTGGGAGGTTCCCCCTTAATGTCTGTCTGCAGGCAAATGAACACAAACAGGTCCAAACACTACAAAATTTTTGAATTCAAGCTGCTCAGTGCACTGTTACAAACTACCCCAAAAAGACTAATTTTATGTGATTAAATACACTTTCATTTATTGTCACCTAGATAACTATGTCTTGTAGAAGGCAATAGGTAAAACTAAAATTTTCAAATACATGTGAGCAACACAGTAATTTTCACAAGGTCTACTTCTTTCCTACCAGTCATTATACAGTGTCCCCTTACACAACACTGAGTAATGCTTGCCAAAAGAGGGTACTCCAAGGCCAGTATTAGGAAAACCTAACATGTGCTAAACTTCAGTCAGCATTTCATTGACTTGTGCACTCTAACTAAATACTTTGCTTTTGTCCACAGAGATGTCACCCATTCCACTTAAGAAAAGTGCTTCTGAAAACACCATATTCCAGTTTCAAAAACTATTTACAGAGAGAGTGAACACAGTAGCAGAAGGCAAAAAGTTACTATTAGAAAGGCTTTGTAAGCAGGAAGAAATGCAAGACCTCAACAGAACACAGCTGTATGCACATCCTTCAGCCATGCAACAGGTTGGTTTAATGAACTTTCTACCAAATTAGCATGCAAAAAATTCTCTCGGATGGTAAGAAGTTAAACAGACTTTTTTTGTGAGAGAAGGTCACCCACATGAGTACATGGTTGCTCCCTTTTGATTTTTTTCACCTTCAGTTATTTAAATTGAAAAAGGTATGACTTTCAATTACAATCCTTAACAATGAGATTTTAGAAGTAGCATCAGTCTAATAAAAGATATAAACTCTCCCTGAATGCCTTAGCTCACCTACATGACACAAATAACAGGCTTAACTGAAAGCAAATACCACTCTGATCAAATAAAACATCTACACTTAACATTTCAACCCATCAAATATGACCATGTTAGCAAGTCAGAAATTTTTATGATAATTATACCATTCCATGAGTGCAAGGCTAATGCTGCATAAACAAACTGAAGCTGATTTGATAACTCACTGCAACAAGATTCACTCTTTATTCTTTCTGGATCCCGTATAAATCAGTTCAGTTTGCTAATACAGCCCAGATGAAAAAAAAAGAAAAAGGAAAAAAAGAAAAAGCAAACTATATTCTGTGTAGGTAGTGAACAGAAGCAGCCCAGCAAGTTCTCAACAGTGCTAGCCCTAACTTGGAGCAGCTCAAATGTTAGATTTGTCATACTGTGTCTGTCCTCACAGAAGGGTGACGCTAGGAAGGCTGTATGACAAAGAAGACAAACTTCACTTAAAATTCTGAGTAATGCACTCTGAGGATTGCAATCCTTCCAGAGCTTTGCTATCATTCAGTACAACAACCCCGCCTGCACCCTAAATCCTTTTTTCCTCTCCCAGAAAATAAAAAATACATTTATTTTATTCATTTGCTTTCAAGAAACAAGTATTTAAATGGTACTGTTCAGGTAAGAACTGCACAAAAGCACGGAGGCAAATGACTGTCCGAATTCTCAGCAGCTCAGAGCAGGTACTGGAGAATGCATTTGGAATCTACATATGGAAATTTTCATATCAGCACTAGAGGGTAGGCACAAAGCAAGAACTGACAGGAAAAAAAGAAAAAAAAAGAACACATGGCTTTCTAACCAAAAGGTGTTGTTTTTTTTCCCCTCAGAAAACATGTCTGCACGTGCCATAGAGCAGGATTTACCTAACAAACAAATGTGCAAAGAAGGTGGATCTGCTTTTGTGTATTCTGCTTTGTGACTACAAAACATAGCTTATTTTCTAAAATCGTTTTAACATTCTTTATCATTCTTTTTTGCCATTCACATTTATTCTCAGTCAGTAGTGGCATGAGATCAAATGTATAGGGCCATTTGGCATCATCTAATATTTTCTTGCTACTCCCACTTACTTGTTACAATTAACCTGAATATATAGGAAGATTAGACAGATAAATCCAAGTGGTGTAAGGAAAGTCCTTCTTCATTGCAGCTGTGGTTATGATTCAACATCATTTTTTGGTTAGAGACAAAATAACATGAATGTTCCACTTAGAATTCCAGTTGTGTAGAGCTATGGTCTGTCACCTTTAGACAGCATCACCGAGGGTAGTGACAATGGGCCAAATCAAGTATCACCAAAATGAAGGATTTCTCAAAAAAAGTCCCTTGAAATTAGCAATTACTTAGGCCAATATTCTCATCCTTTGAGAGTATTTTTACATCCACTTGAGCTTGTGCTGTGGCTCTGCTCTGCTTTAAACTTTATAATAGTCACACAATATGTAGTCTAGGCACACTTACAAACAAGTTGAATGGAACCTGGGGTACTGACACATGCTAAATGTTAGGTGTGAGAGCACTGCAGGAAAACTGAAAGGGCTTGGGAAGTACAACTGCTTAGAATCACACTCTTAGGAACCGCAGTATGGTTCCTGTTCAGCAGCATGGCCAGACCAAGTTGTTCACATATAACTGCTCTGATAATCTAATATAAACTACTTCATAGAAATGATCCAGTTGAAAAATCAAAACCAACATCAAAGAAATGATGGGAGTAACAGCAAACCTATAAAAAAACAGAGATCTTTGCTCTTCTCCCTTCTCAAATATCCATGCTTTTGCCAGAGGACCATCCAGAATAGCATAAGGACAATTCCGTTTCTTCCCCAGTTTGCAAATCACAGAATCACAGAATGGCCAGGGTTGGAATGGACCTCAAGGATCATGAGTTTCCAACGCCCCTGCCACATGCAGGGCCACCAACCTCCTCACTTAATACTAGACCAGGCTGCCCAGGGCTCTATCCAACCTGGCCTTGACAACCTCCAGGGATGGGACATCCACAACCTCTCTCTGTAAAAAACTCTCACCACTCTCTGTAAAGAACTTCCCCCTGACATCCAACCTAAATCTTCCCTCCCTCAACTTAAAACCATTTCCCCTTGTCCTGCTGTTATCTACCCTTTCAAGGAGTTGATTCCCCTCCTGCTTGTAGGCTCTCTTCAGGCTGCAGTGAGGACACCCCACTGCCTTCTTCAAATGAGGATATTGATTTTTTAGAGGTATAGCAGATAAACATCACAATCACCTCTCTGATCTATATTAAGTGTTCAGTTCACCTCTCAAACACACTTATTCTGATATGAATGGCTCACTTTATGTGCCTTTGATAGGGCTACTACACCGCAAGGAATGCCCCGTTTAGATTTCCTGGTAGACCAAACTACATCTGGGACAAATGCATGGAGAATGGGCTCCACTGAGCAGAAGTACTTGCTTTCTGGGTGGATCCACAATCACCATTGTTGCTTAAAAGGCGCTCTCCTCCAGACTCCCACCTTTCTTCTGCAGCAAAGTAATCTTTGTGCTGGTACAAGCACTCGTGCTCAAGCGAGTTGTCCAACCATAAGTTCTAATCTGATAAAAAGCCCCTCCAAACAACTCTGTGTTGCTGGTTTTGTTGTTGTTGCTGCTGCTTTTTTTCCCCTTAAGATCAAGAACAGGAATGCAAGACATGTCAGAAAGAGCAGCCAAGATAGTCTGTTTTACCCAAACCTCCTGTGTCATGTACAAGCCTCCCTCCATGCATCAGGCTCTATTGTGAAGTATGGCAAGTCAAGCCAACCAAGAGCAATCCTGTGAAAAGAACTGGAGAGCTGTATCACACCTGCATGGATGACTTAACTAAAGTCAACGAGAAGAAAAATTAACAGTTTCACTCTCACTCCATGGCTAGGTTAACGTGATGGAATTAAATTCCATTGGCCACAATGAACATAACAGCTGTTCTGAAAGATCTTCATTTAATAAACATTTCACACCACTTCCCTCCTGTTTTTCCCACTGCTTATGTTATTTCATTCCAATTGCTTACTCTACATCCAGAAATAAGACCTAAGGCTGAGCTGCATTTTGTGAAATGAGCATTAGATTTCAGTGATTTTAACTTACAACATAAACCTGCCTTCACTTTCCGGAAATCAGCATGCAGGAAGTTATACAAAAGCAGAGCAGAGCAACAGCTCACCACACCCAAAGGTCTCCATTCTCCTCTTCCTGCAGTAGTGAGGGTTGGAACATATAATTGTCCACATCTAGCAGCACAGAATGGCCTATAAACTTACACCAATCTTAAATGAAGATGAAGTGTTAGTACATCTACATGCAGTATGTGTCTCTGAAAGTACTCAGGAATGCTTAACCAGCACATGCAGCATAAATCTGCTGTAAAATATCACAAAGGGTCAAATAATTACTAGACAAATATCTTTCCCAGCATATTCCACAGGTAATGTATATAGAAATAAAAAAAACCTGGCATTTAGACAATTAAAACATTAACAATACTACTTTCACCTCTTAGGATGGAGGATGTGCTTAAGTTAAATATACTGAAGGTTAAATATACCACATAGCAAATTATAAGGATCACTACCTGTAACACATCCATGCTCCTCAGAAAATTCCCATTCAAATACTGCTGAGTCCAATTTGCTCCAGTAAGACTCACAGTGTAAGATAGGATACCAATAGCTTGCTAAAAAGCCTTTAAAAATCCATCTTGCAGTGAACAGGATGCATAGAAAAGGTAGATAATGATATTTAATATGCTATACTGATTACAGATATTAGAAAGAGTGGCTAATTGGAGGCAACAAGTAATTCCACAGGAGAGAAAATGAAGTAAAAATTCTAAACATAAAATGGTGATTGTTTTGGCAATACTGCGTGAGTTTTAATAGTGGACAGTAAGAGGGAAGATATTAGAAAAGCATGGCTTCTTCTCCATTTACTTTCATTCTCTTAACAAATCCCATACACAGACCCAGCTGAACTGGGATAGGCAGGATTCCCTTATTTAACCAGGCTTCCACCTGCACAGAAGAGGACTTTCAAAGACTTCGTTAAAAAATCAGTTTCGGTGTATGGCATTACTGCCAAAAATATTTCCCAGAGAATTTTGCAAAAAGTTAACAGAAATCACACTTGTTCCAAGATTAATGTTGCAAATTTGTCCTGGTCAAGGACTTCAATGACGTTTAATAGATTTGCAACTCAAAGTACTCCTCCTCCCTCTCTCACTGCCCCCAAGAAAATCTTCTCCTTACCAATACGCTTTAACTTGACTTTGGCACGCTGTCGGTCGATTTTACAGTGACTTTGTTCTCTAGCTTACTTTTCATAAAGATGACTTAGAATACCTGTTTTTAAGTTTTCTTAGTGTTAAATCCAAAGTAACAGTTTTAACTTCAATAGCCTTAAAGTTTTCACAGAGAATTCACTGCTAACGCAGCTATAGAATGTGCCAAGATCAGATGAAAATGGCTAAAAAATGGTTTTAAGTTAAATTGGGACTGTGTTCTTAGTGCAGGGAAGGCCTTGATTAGTGTGCAAGTAGGAATACACTCAGTTTTTGTTTCAGTTCACAGTACATGACTATAAAGTAAAGCCAATAAAAAGCCATATACTGCCTTCTGCTTTAAAGAAGTGCAAATTTAAGCTCCAAATTCAGGCAGCTGTTTTTTCATTAGAGAGGAAAAACAAACAAACAAACAAACAAACAAACAACTTAGAAGTTGTTGCTCACGTCAATGCAGTGAGATCCCAAGTCTGTCTTTCATGTTGTGCCTGCTTGTGGGCTCACTGCAGAACCCAGCTGACACATATACCTGACTTCACGCAGATGAGTTTCAGTGGTAGAAAGAGCACCATTCAAATACATGCATTTGAACTCATGCTAAAATATTTTCCTGGAGCAATCCAGTGTACTGAGTTTTAAGTTTTCAGTTGCAAAGATCCTCACTGAAGTAAATCTCTCCAGTGTCTGACTATCTTTTTAACACTGTAAAAATCTCACCTCATTTTAGGCCACTTAGCACAAAAAGCAAAGCCCTTCACATTGCTGAAAACAACTGTATCAGGACATTTAGCACAAAGAATTCATGCCATGTGTTCTTGTGTCATGTAACAAAAACTCTATGTTTATGTGTACAGATATGATTTCAAAGACCAGAAATTATAACAACTTCCCAATAGCTTTCTCTTTTTTTGTGGGTCATCTCAAGAACGCCTGAAGATCCTAATTTTTAAAATCCAAGATGAATTAAAGGACAATTTCTCACATGTATAGCACAGGAACAATCAGCAATGTAGAAGAATTGTGACTGCACCCATCTCAAGCCAGTAGTCACTACCTACACATCCCCACTAATTTCAATGTGAGGCCTGAAGACTATATGTTCCATTGGACAATGAAAGCTCTGTTAGTTGCTGAGGGCATGGTTAGGACCATCCATTAATATTTACTGCATCCCTTTCATATTTAACCCCCTCAAAAGGAATATGGCTAAGAGACACTTCTTAGCTTTTCAGTTTAAAAGAACAGTCTTAACAGATTTTACCAATGCAATATATGCTATATATCTGATTCTTGGTTTTCAAGAAGTGTTCCAAAAAGAAGTAAGAACAAATTTGGTACCCTATTATCTCTGGAAAGGGATGGCACCTTTCACTACACCTCACAGCAGAATGCTAAGGAGAAATACAGAGAATATGGACAGAAATGGTAAAGAAGGAAAGGGGAAAATCAACATCTCAGCTATACAACACTTCTATTGACTGCTTGCAAACGTGTAACAAGTTGCATGGACTTTCACTTTACAGTGAAAGTAAGCAAGTTTCCTTTTACATATGCATCAAAATTTATGTCTCCAAAAAAGCAGCCTTTAAAATCTTTGACTTATATTGAGTTAAGATCAGAATCAGAGGCAGGGTCTGTATGCCTTTATTCTGTAGTTTTGTATAACTTGCAAACTGCTTACAGCTTCAGCCACAACATTAGTATTACTATCATATAAGATGCCACAGGAGATATTAGATATTAAAGAGCTCATGGAAATCAAATAGAGCTGTCAAGTATCCATTAGAAAAAGAGAGAAAAAAAACTATTCTTTGAAAATTGTGAAACAAGGTTGCAGTAAACATTGAGAGAGTACGTTGCAAAGTGACAAAAATACATCGTTTTATTTCCAACTAAGAAACTTCATCCATGTCCAGCAGTGTGACTATAAGCATAAATGAACTAGGATGTTTTTCCAGGCTCTTTACAGAAAAATGGCTCAACCAAAAATGAGGCCACTGATCACATGGCTTCATTCCTTGCATTCTGTAGCTTTATCATTCCCAATAAAAATGATTTTGATGGACACTGACAAACATGTATAGTTCACAAATGATACACCTGCAACCCAAAGAAGACTGTTAGGATGTAAGTGTGATGTAGGGGTGCAGCATTTTACCTGTAATGTATATGAGACTCAGATCTAACAGAAAAACTGATTGTGTTTTCTACTGTTGATCCAAACCAAATTCGGAGCAACCCTTACATGTTTGTGACCTCAAAAATGTAGAGAACAAATTTGTGCATGTGTACTTAGAGCAGCACGCCTTCCCGAGTTGCCATGCATGTGAATGTTGCCTACCGTCCAGCAAGAGGAAGTTAAGCAATATTGTGCAGGTGTTCGCAGGCCAGCAGCCAGACGCAGCATGTGCGTGTGAGCCTGTGCGGGTGCTCCCACGAGGAGGTCGCACTTTCCACACTGAATCGCAGCGAATGCAGCTTCCTTTACACAGCCATATGTCTCTCAGGTAGACGGCGAGTTTTATTTTATTATTATGATACATCTGAACGGTTACGCCTAAGAGGAGCTTGAAACTCCTCGAGAACCGTTCTGTTTCTGTAGATTCAGGTCGGCGGGACTGCATTTAGGCACGAGCATCTCGCACAATGCCGGGCATGGCATGGCAGAGCAGGGAGTCGCTAAGGCAGCCGCGGGGCGGCCGGGCCGGGCGCATCCCTGCCGCATTCCCGCGCGGCCCAGGGTCGGGAGGAGCGCAAAGCCGGTCCGGGGCGATGCCGCTTCCGAAGCGTGCCCGGGAGCAGCTCCGAGGCCCAGGGAGGCTGCCCGGACGGTGCGGGATCGGGCCGGGCCGGACAGGCCCCCTGCCGCACAGTTCCCTCCTCCGCCGTCGGCAGGACGGCCCGGCCCAGTGCCCGGCCCCGCGCTAACTTCCCCCCTCAGGGTGCGCCGTCCGAACGGCCGCGTCCCCCTTACCTGTGCTGCAGCCCCACCAGCCCCAGCGTGATCACATGGGGCACGTCCAGTTCGGTGGGCCACACGCCGGAGGCGATGCAGCCGAACACGCCGCATTCTTCGCGGATGCCCAGCTCCTCCAGCTCCATGGCGGCACGTGGCGGCGGGGCCCGGCCCGGCCCGCTCCGGCGGATCCCTCCCGCGCGCTCCTACGGACGCCGCGCGCAGCCAACAACGCCGCGCCGCGCGGAGCCGCGGGTACCCTGCCGGGCGGCCTCCTCATTTACATGCGTGGGGGGCCTCCGGCCTCGCTCCCCGCCCGGTCCCCTCTTCGCTCTCCACCCCCCGCCCCGCCGCCGGGACGGCGGGGAGCCGGCATTGGCCGAGGCGTGGGACGGGGCAGCGCTCGCTCGGGGGTGGGGATGGAGGGGCGCGGGTCGGCCCCGCCGCGTTGAGCGGCGATTGGCGCGCGGGCTTCGCCGCCCCGCCTGCCCGCCCCTTCCGCCGGGCCCTTCTTACTCCCGCGGCGGGTCGACCGCGTGTGCTCAGCTCTTCTCCTGTGCTCTAGGTGCCCGTCGCCGCCGCAGTTATCGCCATGGCCCCCGCCGCCTCAGGTAACGCGCGCCGCGACCGTTGGGTGCCGATGGGGTGGCGGTAGCGGGGAGGAGGGCGTGGGAGCGGGAGTCGGAACCGCGTTGCCGCGCTCCCCGTTGGGCCGTCTGCAGAAAAGTTTCTCTTTGCGACGCCGTCTTCTAACCGTTTCTCGTTCCCTCGCCCCGGAGGTAGAGGTGCCGCTATCCGCGTCCCGGAGGAGCGGAGGCGGAGCGTGGGCGGTGAGTCCCGCGGTCCCGGAGCCGAAAAGCTCCGCGCCTCGCTGCCGTCGCGGTCGGAGCGCCGCGGGGCGTGTCGCTCAGCTGGGCTTCGGAGTCTGGAAAACGGTGAAAAAGTTGTGAAAGGGGCTCCCGCCGTACCAAGCCCTCCAGGCAGCGCCCGCAGCCCCGGGCTGCGTGTGCAGATGGCGCTGGGGCTGGTTGCGCCTCTCACGCGAGCTGACGTACGCGACCAAAACTCGCATCTAAAATGCTCTTAATTTTACTTTTTCTCTAGAACTGAAACTTGGTAAAAAAGTTAATGAAGGTAAAACGAAAGAAGTGTATGAGCTGCCGGATATCCCGGGATGCGTTCTGATGCAGTCCAAGGACCAAATAACGGCGGGGAATGCCGCCAGGAAGGACCGGATGGAGGGGAAGGCTGCCATCTCCAACACCACCACCAGCTGCGTGTTCCAGCTGCTGCAGGAAGCAGGTTTGTATTGCAGAGGTGGAATTAATGCCTGCATGCTGCACGTGTTGTTACTCAACACTGCCGATTCCATGCTCCTCCTTAGCCTCCCTGAAGGCTCTGATATGTTTTGTTCAGACTTAATTTTCAGTTCACCTTTTGTCTCTGACACTACAGAGCTGGGTGGGTGGCCCAGTCATTTGGAACATGAGAGTATCTGGCATAATCTTCTGACCACGTGGTAGAGGTTCTACCCTAGTCTGAATGTAGCCCTGGACCTCCCTTTTGCTGCTCAGTCTCAGCTGATGTAAAAACTGTATGATCTATTATAATAAGTAATAAATTTTAGTCAGTCGGCAAAGTCATAGCTAGTGTGTTCCATGTGTGAGAAAGAGAAAGAAGGCCTCTGTAGAATTATATTTACTTCTGTACAAGTAGTTCTTAAAGCATTAGCAGATACTGAGGTCTTCTGCAGATTGGTGAAGAGGAGTGCATGATTGGGTCATTCGGTATAACCTCCAGCTGCTGGCTTCCCTGGGAAGCCTGTTGTTTATGCGTGAGTTAAATACGTTGCCTAAGTTTGTATGGCCAGTAATTAACCTAACAATTTAAATATCCAATAGCCTATGGGTATAGTATGAGTTTTAAATGCTGAGAAGGTGCCTCAAAGATTTTTAAGTGGCTTTTATTTGGTAGCTTCTGGCACTATAGAGTAAATTCCGGTTGCATTTTAAAGCAACAAAATAATTTCCAGGATTCTTTCTATTGTGGTTTGATTATTTGAGGGCATAAATTGCAGATAACGTGAATGTGTTATTGTAGAAGTTTGTTTGCTTTTCGCAACTCTTCTTAACCTTAACTTCTTCAAAGGTGGTAGTTCAACAAATTCTGTTAAAGTTTTTCTTTCCTTTATAATGGAACCAGTGTGAGCCTTTGAAAAGCACATATACAAGGGGGGGAAAAAAAAAGCCCTTTTCTTAGGCTTAAAATACCCTAAAGAGATTCACTTCATCCTTTAAGTACAATGAAGTGCAAGATTTTGTTGTGCTTAAACTTAGTTCCTTGTGACTCTTGATTCAACTGTGGAGTTTGCCTACTAATGAAACTAAGCTGCCATCCTTCTATTTAGGAATCAAAACAGCTTTTGTCAGGAAACAGAGTGACACCGCTTTCATAGCAGCTCACTGTGAAATGATCCCAATTGAATGGGTCTGCAGAAGAATTGCTACTGGCTCTTTCCTCAAAAGAAACCCTGGTGTCAAAGAAGGCTATAAGTTTTACCCACCTAAAATTGAGATGTTTTACAAGGTAAGTTGCTCTCTTGTGGTGAGAATCAAACTTAAAGATAAAACTCTGTAGTATCTTATTTAAAATGCTAATGGATAAGAGGTTGCACTGACTGACCTCCTTTTAAGGAGTAACTAGTTCAGGTATTCTGATGTTTTCATGTGTTCTCATCGATACAATACTGGCTCACAAAGCCATCAAAGAATAACAAGCCAAATTATATAAAGTAGATAACTCAAAGTGCTTTTGAAAATGCTGAATGGTAAAGAGTATATATAAGTTTTTGGTTTTTTTTAAAGCAATAACGTTATTTTCTAATGGCTAATTTTCCCTTATAGCAACTGAACTTGCGTGCTTTATGTTTGGTTCCTTAACAGGATGATGCTAATAATGATCCACAGTGGTCTGAGGAGCAGCTAATTGAAGCAAAATTCTCTTTTGCTGGACTTACTATTGGCAAGACTGAAGTAGATATTATGGCTCGTTCTACTCAAGCTATTTTTGAGATCCTGGAAAAATCATGGCAGCCCCAAAACTGCACTCTGGTGGACCTGAAGGTATGAAAATCTGATTTCCCGTGATCCTAATTTTGACAGGAAAATATATTGCTATAGTTCCTTACAGAAGCTTCTTATTGTCTTTATAGATTGAATTTGGTGTTAATATTTTGACCAAAGAAATTGTTCTTGCTGATGTTATTGATAATGATTCATGGAGACTGTGGCCATCAGGAGACAGAAGCCAGCAGAAGGACAAACAGGTAACATGCTGGTCTTTAAATTTTAAGTCAGTGGGAAAGGAGAAGGATTAAGAAAAATTCCACCCTTTAGTTAAGCATCTGTTTCTGTTTTCTTTAAATAGTGGGGGAGAGTAGGGAAGCAGGGGTGTTACTTCACTGTCATCAAACTTAAAGCAGTTCTGCTGTCTGATTTATTGTATTACTGAATGAATCATGTAGTGGCATCCTCAAGTGAATTGCTCTGAATGTACTTTTATTCATCTTCCTAAAATAAGGTGCATGGTAACATCATGCAGAACCTTGGTTGGCTGTTTGCTGTTTGGTTTGCTGTTGCAGGCAATCAAATCACTGCAAATTCCAACTTCAAATTGGTTGTTTCCCTAAGCTTACCCACCTGGAAACTATTGAAACCTTGATAGCCCTGTGGCAAAAAGCTTTCCATGTTACAAGTGGCCATGAATTCTAATGTAGTTTGTTTTTTCCTTGCTTCCATATCCATGTTTAAAAGAAGTAATCACATCCACTCAAACTTATTTTCGTAGAATTAAAGACTTTGCTCTTTCCATTTCCTTTTCTACGTAAAGAAAAACTCACTTTAGAATCTCTCCTGTAACTGTACCAATGCCAGCTCATCTTCTTTCCTTGAAATGGCATAAATGCCTCAGTTGGGGGTATTTGTACCAATGGTGGTAGCAAAGAGAATTGCTTTGTGCACCTGAAGCAAAAGATCACCTTTAACTCTTGCTTTTGTTTTTTGTGGTTTTTTTTTTTTTCCTTTTCAGTCCTATCGAGACCTGAAGGAAGTGACTCCTGAAGCACTGCAGATGGTTAAGAGAAACTTTGAATGGGTTGCAGAAAGAGTAGAGGTATTTTCTGCTGACTTTTTTCTTCTAATGAACAGTGTATGTGGTCTTTGATAACTGTCTTCAGTCTCTTGACTGTTTTTTTTTTTTTCTCTCCTTTTTTTTTTTTCCCCTTCTTCCTTCTGTCTTCTCACTTAATTCTTTCTTGTAGCTGCTTCTGAAAACAAAGAGCCAAGGTAGAGTTGTGGTATTGATGGGATCTACTTCTGACCTTGGCCACTGTGAGAAAATAAAGAAGGCATGCGCAACCTTTGGAATTCCTTGTGAGTTAAGAGTAACCTCTGCTCACAAAGGGCCGGATGAAACTCTGAGAATCAAAGCAGAATATGAAGGTAGGTGTCAAAGAACTAATGAATGAGAATGAGCAGTATCATGTACAGAAATGACTTGTCAACTTAAGTATCTCTGTAGGCTTTTTCCAGAATTTTTTTGCTTGTTGAACACAGCAATAAGCTGTTACAGTGCAGTTCTACTCTTGTTAATTACATGATAGATAGTAGATTGCACTAAGCAATTACAAAGTAACATATTGTCTCAGAACTTCCATTATTCAAGAGCTTGAACTCTGATCATATCTCACTACTGAACTTCTTTGCCCAAGCCTTGATTGTGCTAATACCTGCATCAGTAGGAAGATACTGCAGTAAATGTATTTCTGAAACAGGGAAGAATGGTGGTTTCCTCTAGCTGACTATAAATGTTCTTTGCTTACCTACAACACAGATGATATTGCCATCATCCTACCCATTTGTTGAAAATGTTCAATCATTTTCTTATGCAATGAGAAAAATACTTTATTTTAATTCAGATTTTTACTAAGAAAACTTGACTTTTCTTTGAAATGGTTTATAGGCTAGCAGAGAAGAGATAAAAATTAACTTGTAGGAATATTCCTTACACAGGAAAGAAATTAGCATTTGGTGAGAGGATGAAGCAGTTACATTGGATCAAAAGTACAAAGATGGTAATCACAGCTGAGATTCACTTATTTTGCGATGAATTAAGACTATAGGAAAAAAAAAAACCTATAGTTTAACACTTCAGCCAGAACGTAGCTGACTAAATCCCTCATTTTTAAATGTTGCTCTTTCCAAAAGCAAAGCAGCACCCATTCGTCTGATACTTTCTCTCAAGCAGAGGCAGAGTAAGTCATGTTAACTTGTTCAGTTATGGTAAATAGTATCTGGGTTTTAAGGCTGTAAGATCAGTTGTTTCTGTGAAGGGGAAAATTCAACATAAATTTTAGTGCTGTGTAATGGAATGAAAGAAATTAACTGCAAACTGAAGAACTGTATACTCAGATAAAACTCCAGAAAAGAAAGTGGGAGGAAGCAAGATGGACTGCTCTGCATGTGGCAAGGGGTTGGAGATTGATCCTTGAGGTCCCTTCCTACCCTGGCCATTCTGTGTGATTCTGTGTGACTGCCTATTTTTATTTTTTTTTTATTTTTTATTTTTATTTTTTTTTTTCCCCTGCAAGGAGATGGAATCCCAACTGTGTTTGTTGCAGTAGCTGGCAGAAGCAATGGTTTAGGACCAGTAATGTCTGGTAACACTGCTTATCCTGTTGTCAACTGTCCCCCCCTCTCATCTGACTGGGGTGCTCAGGATGTGTGGTCTTCTCTCAGACTGCCCAGTGGTAAGATGATCTTCAGCATGTGCAATTGTGCAGACCTAGCTATAGTTATTTTATCATAAACATGTACGTGCACTGTTTGAAACAGTGGTTTGATCAGTACTGAACAGTCTCTAGAAATCTGCATGCAGTCTTTGTCTGGGCTTTTTGCAGCTGGGAAGTCAGAGATTATGTACAAATACTCCTTAGAAAGATATGATCCTTTGCTTATCCTTGCTAAATATACGAGTTTGAAAGAGGAGTTAGTAACAATAGGAAGCTGTTGTTTCTGCTTATAGTACTCCATTTTTCTTCAGTAAATTTACTGTGATGAAAGATCGAATAATTTCTTTCTCTACAATTAGCTTGACTCTTCTACAGCAGTGTATTGCTACCATATGAATTCTGATCAGTTAGTGACTAGAACAGGTATTTGGCAGCTTACTGGCCCAGCAGCCTGTTAACCTCTTTCTTCATAAACTTATTGCTATGCTGGCTTTGGGTTTCAAATGCCATGGTGAGAGAAGTATTGAGACGTTTGACACTTCAGTAGCTTTAAAACTAAATCACATGCCTCTTGAGGGCTGAAACAAGCACTGTCTTAAACAGTCATTTAGAGGCAACGTTCTGCTTGTGCTTATAAAACATGTTTTTTGAAAGTAGCATTCTGCTTTCTTTGCAGGTCTTGGCTGTCCTACTACTTTGTCACCTGAAGGAGCTGCTCAGTTTGCTGCTCAGATTTTTGGGTTGAACAACCACTTGGTATGGGCCAAACTGCGATCAAACATGTTAAATACATGGATCTCCTTGAAACAGGCTGACAAAAAATTGCGGGAGTGCACCTTGTAAGTCCAACAAGTAATTACTCCTAGCTAGGCAAAGATAAGGGTGTGCACATGCATTTGCATCAGGATTTGCAGTTGTATGATGTGAGAAATCTTTTCATACAGAAGGAAGCATCTTTAGGGCAGCAGATAAGTTTGCTGTGTCCTCATCCCTCTTATGTATTTTTTTTTTTTTTTTTTTTAGTATAACCACTTAGTAAAAGATGAGAATATTTTAGACATCTTTCTGTAGTTGCAAAATAGTGCTGTTCTGCTCTTTAGTGTATACTGTTAACTACTGATGATGGTTTTGTCAACATAATTTGTGTGATTTAAATAGAAATCCATTTTTTTTTCTGTAAAAGTAACATTTTTACATAGTAATAATGTATGTCCTGAAGCTTATTAACTCAATGGGACTGCTAACTAAAACTAGTGCTGATACTGTTCTGCTTGTAATAATGGTATGCTTTCTTTTAGCAATAAAATGGCAACATGCTGTATTAATAAGAAAATAGGCTAAAAATGAGTAAGAGCCTGAAAGAAATAATTGCCTTATTTAAAAAAACATATATTTTTTCATGTGTACATGTGTGTATGTATATACACCCCATCAATAACTTTATTACATAACTTCTCAAATTAACAGTTCTCTTGTTTGTGACAAACTCTAATTTTGAATGGAACCATAACTAGGCTTGTTGCCTACTTGCTGTATAACTCTTGACTAGTCCAGTCTTTGCCCTTCAAATATTAGGCAGATCTACTGTGGATGTATGTGATGCTGTCAAATTATCCTCATACACATCAAATGTATCTATATTCCCTCATTCTGTTTCCATGGGAGATATACTGAACTGAAGGTGGGAACAAATAGTAAAGCAACAGAATACCAGGGGCAAGCCTAAGCATGACTGTCTTGTCTTTGCACATAACATTCTTCAAAATAGGTACTGATTCCAAGAAATATGCAATTACTCAATGTATGTACAACTTATGCTTTTATAATTAAATAAACTATTTAATTCAAAGTTGCCTTGTGGAGACTTGATAAGATACACAATAAGTCATCAGCTCTTAAGGTACAGTAAACACTTGTAAAAGAACCTTATGTATTAAACCAGCATAAAGTAGTAGATAATGTTGCTTACTGTTGGAAGAAGTCCTGTTGCTTTTTCATAAAATATAGTTTTACTAGTGTGTAGTAGCTCACATTTACTTAATGAGGGTAAACTGGATTGATTTCTGCTGTTCTTAGCCTTCACATGAAGGACCACATCTTCTACGTAGCTATAGCAGAGCTCCAAATAGTGCTGTCTTTCACAGTTGAATGCAGCCTTCTTAAATTGATCAAAGCCTATGCTGAAGCAAAACAACTCTACTTCTTTGTGTAGTTTTGAGGGGAATGTGCTTTTTTTTTTTTTTTAAACAACTTAAAGCTAGTTAGTGACAAAAAGGTTGAAATTTCATGGTAAAATATCTTAGCAATAAAAACTATGCTCTGTGTAGTGTCTCATTTCTTATATCAAATCACTTTCACCCTGATTATACTAACTTTGTTTGTAAACACTGACAACCTGTGTTAGGCATGAGCATGTTAAGTGCTTTAGTTGCCATGGAGAAGGTCATTCTTCAGTTTTTGAGTGTTCTTCCTTTATTGCAGTCTGTACTAAATCCTCAAAAGTGAGGCCCCGTTTGTGAAGTTTCCTTGCAAAAAGTATTCACTGTAGTTAGCACTGATGATGTATTGCTGAAAGCAGCAGAGAAAACCTGCACTGTCAGTTGCTGATATTAAGATTGCCCTAGAATGGGGCAAATCAACTGTTTAATATAAAATTCTTCCTAAAGTTCTTGCTATGAAAGGCAAGCATTTCTCATTGGTTAAAAACAAACAAAAACCCAACACCTTAAGTGCTTGTATCATTGTAAAACAAATAAAAACCCTATAATGGAGAGGTTACTCAAGTTTATTTGCATTTTTCAAGTTGGAATACCCGCAGTAAAAATCTGTGAAACTTCAGACTCCATGAGATCATGTCATCTTCAGCAGAGTTACCTGTTCTACTGGAGTAACTCTTAAAAGGTAGCAGCAAGCAGAGGGAAATACTGACAGCAGGACTTGTATTACAACCTCAGCTGCTGCAGGTACAGGTAAGTGGTCCTTAGCCTTGAATAACAAATTCACTTCCAAAAATACCCCCAAGCCCCACTCTGTAAAAACATTCAAAGGGAAAAAAGGCAATGATAAGTAGCATCTGAATATAGATAAAATTGTAAGGAATAAGTTAATGTGCTTGGAGCAGTGACCTTGCTTTTATGGGTATGGCATAAAGGCATGCTGTTTTTTTATACTTTTTTTCCCTCCTGAAAGCTACATGAGCAATTCATTCCCAAAGAAAAACTACATCTGTTCCCTCAACAGAAGGAGAGCACATAGATGATTGATTTACAAAAACAAACCCTACATATAAAGGCCCTGCATAGTTCAAGTGCCCCTAGAACTGAGTTGCAGTCCCAGCTCCATATTTCATCTCAAATTTAAGTACTTGCAGGATTATGTAATTGTTGCATAATCTGACAGGGACCTGAAGCCTTTGGGCATGGTTTTAGCAGCTAAGTTTCCCTACCACTTAAGCATCTGCTGTTGTGCTTGTGCAGAAGCATTTTAGGTCTTTACAGGGCAGAAAAAATAAGCTTGCTCATTTAAGGCATATCAGGATATACAAAATCACTACTACAGACAAGTTATCAAAGCATACCTATCCATTCAAAATATGAGACACATCCTATATGTCATAACAGTCACCTGGGTTATAAGCAAATAAATCCCTTCTCTACTGGGTAGAAAAAAGTTCAGCTTCGTCCTATCTTAGAAGGGTACTTTATGACAAGCATTTGGGAGACCTACACTAAAGAAAGATCTCCGTTTCCTCTTCTAGCACTGTTTCTATTTGTTTCTTTAAAAACTGCAATGGAGGTTGAACATCACAGTGCTGTAGCTACCTGTAGAGCTTTGGGTTTCTTCAGCCATGTAGCAGGCCTTGGCCTTCTCTTTTATTATCTTACTTCTGTATCTGTTTCTGTATGAAAAAGATTAGGACTTGGAAATATGTTGAGTTTTCTGAAACAATTAATTCCAGAAACAACACATTTCTCTCTCCCTCTCTTCTGATAACAGATGTCATCAACAGCAGGAGGATACCTGAGAGAAAAATAATACAGCAAAACTGCTGCCAAAAGTTCAACAAGTGCTTGAGAGTTATCAAGCACCAGGTTTGAGTCTTTTCAAGGATCAAGTCTTAAACAGAAAGGAAGAGGTTGGCATTTATGGGAACTTGGAGCTTCTAAAAATTCCAGAATTTCAACCAACAGAGGGCAGCAGGTTGGAACATTTGCTAAGTATACAACAGAGAATGGACTATGGTAACCCCAACAAGTACTCCTAACAAAATGCTGTCTGATGAAAGGAAGATGGAAAAAAGGGAAACCAAAACTTACAACACTGTCAAGGGAAAAGTCATTTTGCCAAGCCCACTGTATAGCTCTGTGTTAAGAAAAATGTCTTCCTAGCTGACAGATTAGGAAGTTTTGAATACAAGGAGCCAACTCTCACAAAACAAAAAAGTTTTTCAAGATGCCAAGTTCCAAAGTTCTATTTGGATTTAACAAATTGTGACTGTATTTGCCTTAATATAGCACAGATCCCTGTCCTGAATTCTCCCTTACATCATTTCATTTTTAACTCATCTAAACATCTAGCAAATGGCTACCTTCCTAGTTACCACAAGTTCATTTTCAGCCTTTATATATATATATAATATATCATATATATATATTACATATAATATTATATATATATATATATATATATATAAAACGCAAAACATTATTTCATCTTAACAAAACACAAGTTGTCAACTGGAAGTATGAAGTCATCTTCATCAACTATTTCCTGTCTGTCCTATCTAGACATGCCTATTGTGTTATGGCAAGCTCTCTGACTGCACTTGAACTGCATCACTTGTGATTATCACTGATGTAATTGTTTTTTCAAATTCACAGTGCTATCATTTTGTTGGCCTTTATTTGTGAAAGCAGCTACTGTCAGCAGCAGCTGGGAAAGTACACCTTCAACAAAAATCAAGGCTCAGATCTCACTGGATACTTTGCTTTGGTGAAGGCTTTAGAACAAGTTACATCCTAGCACTGAACATTTTGCATTTTTTTTTTTCTCCTTTTCCTTCCCAGTTGAGAAAAACACTTTAAATAAGAGAGCTATGGAGAGATTTCAGCACAGATCCAATGATCCTCAAAAACATAGCTCCTATCTACTAGCTTGCTGGAACAGCCTCTCATGCTTCCAAGATGGAGCAAAAAATATCAAATAAGGACAAGCTTATTGCTTGCTGCAAAACACTACACACAAAGTGCAGTACTGTATGCACACTGTACATACCTTTAAGATATACACTGAAAGGTCTATGCCAATTTTCAGTCCATCTTGCTTGCCTGTTCCATTCTAACTGCAAAGTGACAAAGTCTGATCCACAAACACCTGAGGCCTCAAAAATCTTTCCTCTGTTCTCAATTTCTTATCCTTTACAATGGCAACCATGGTGATGATGATTGTGGAAAAGCAATTAGACAGTAATACTCAAAAGTCTTAATGCAGTACATACTGATCTACATATAACTTCATTTTTTATTTTGTTTCTATTTCTTCAAATTTTCTCTTATGTTTTTCCCAATCCCAGAGGTAGAACTTACACAAGCACAGGACAGTGCCAGCCAATTGACACTTCCTTATCTGCTCTTGGCAGAAATTTTTATTTCATTAAAAACTCAGGGGAATTAATAAGAACATCTGGAAACCACATCTTCTGTCAGGTTTGGGAACACACTGTTTGAAAACTAAGGCTCTCTGCATGAAAAAAAACAACAACAAAACCAAAACTCATAAATCTACCACTAGATTTTCCTGAAAAAAAAAAAAAGAAATTAAAAAAAAATTCACCTGCATTCCTAAGTAGATCATGGTAATACAAAAATTAAGCATCTACGGTTGTTAAGATACCAAACCATAGGAATAGAAGATCCTCCTTCCATTAATGTAAATAAACCTTTCCCAAATATTAACCCAAACTTAACCTGGATTGAAACCCATGTTACAACTAAATTCAGCAGATTCTTAGTTGCCTGTGGTATCTCAAACCTTAAACACCAGAAGAGAACAAAGCAAAACACCTGGTTAGCAAACTTGTGAAATGCTGTTCTGCAAGAACAATTTCCCATTACTTTCAAATTCTGTGAAAAGAAAACTTTATACTTCAAGTTACCTTGAGTAGATACAACAGTATATCAGAAAGACCCCAGCAACAAACTCGACTGACCAATGATCAGTAAGAGAGGTACTGTAAGCAGAAATACATGCTACTTAATATCATGAAGTGCCCACAACCCTGAGTTGAACAGCTGCTCCTGGCAGCTGTACCTGGCAGAAGTTTCTCAACAGGAGGATATGGAAAATGAAAGTTAGTTTTAGTTTCTGATAAAGTTAAAATATTACAAACTTTTAGCTTTTATTGAAAATTAAATATATTAGCAAAAGCGAGATTTAAGAAATATTTTACAAATCATTTACATACAAGAAAGCCAGTATCAGACATATTCACAAATATGCAAACCTTTAATTACAAAAAGTACTTAATGGCAGCATGATGCTTACCTTGCCACTGCAGTGTGCTCTACTATTGATATAAGGCATAGAACTCACATTTGCACCAACTTAAAGAGTTCAAATAAAACTTTAAGCTTTTAAATCCTGGATGCACAATCCCAAATACACACACACGCACACTCTAAGACTTCTCCTTAAAAGCTCTATAAACTAAGTGTGTGCTCTGGAAGAACAGCCAGCCTGAAAAGCCCAGTAGAAATGTAACTGGTACTAGAGTTTAGTTTTCAGTTTTCTCTTTAACATGTACAGGCCTAGGTATGTAAACCATATTCACAGTTTAATTATTTTTAGACA